ATTAGAAATCATCTTTCTGTTATTTCTTTAACATCTATGGTGTTGCTTTCCTAACTAGATACAATAAATGGTCAATTCTAATAAGTTTTGTATTTTTGCTTAAACAAATACATATGAAAAATATGGGGAAGAACGGTAGCATACACCACATATATTATTCACTGCATATCCAGCAACCCTTTGAACAGTGTAATGGAAAACAAAGTTTGCACATTCTGTAAAACACAACATATGGGGTGGGTTTATTAAAGGCAAATAGACTGTGTACTTTTCAAGTGCAGTTGCTCCAGGGCTTAGTAAATGAGGAAAAGCTTCACTTTAAAAATAATAGCCAATCACAAGCAAGGAAAATGTAAAAAACTGCATTTTTACTTGCACACATGATTGGATGCCAGCAGAGCTGTCAAGATGGGGGCTGGCCATACATTGCAAGATTTTATTTCCTTTAGCAGATTGTTCCATTCTCACTATACAGCACAGGTGGATGAATCCTTCTGCAGGGCTATTGTATTGTGACAGCCAGCACTGGTGGCTGTCAGAAAACCTGAACAGCAGTTGCATGTGAACAGATGCAGCCACTGTTCCCCTGACAATTTTCCTCCCAACTTTTTAATTTTGTTATTCCTCAGGTGGGAGATGGGTCAACATGTTGAAGGGCAGTCAATTCAGGAAAAAACATTAAAGGCTAAGTTCACTTTTAGTAAGAACTTATGTTATCTGTATTTAAAGGATAAGTTCACATTCATAACATGTTACACCCATATTCAGGGTGTAACATGTAACATGTTACAAAAGGACCATCCCCTGCTCCCCTGTTTTGACAGCCAGTGGGGGATCTCCTCCCCCTCACTAGCTGTAGGAGGTATGAGTAAGCAGATCGCTGGTGCAATGCTTTACAGGCTCATGCAACAAAAAATAATAAATGCACATTTTTTTACCTGCAAAAAAATATGCATTTATTATTTTTTGTCAAAAGGTGAACTTACCCTTTAAGGTGTAACATATCACTATACAGCACCTGCCTGCATCCTCCTCCCTGCACCCACTGTCACAATCTAAAACAGATCGGCTGTGCGATCCACCCACACAGCAGTGTAATTCATTCACAAGAATCTGTGAATGAATGAATGAACACTTTCGTCTGCCACTGCTTGTAGTTCTCCATGAACTGCAAGGGCGCTGGTGAGTGCTCACATAATTCATTGACACTTCTTACAGCTTTCTAAAAGGAAGCCCGTATAGACCTATACATAGGTGTACAGAGGTGATAAATGCACAATTTGGTACCTGCAAAAAGATGTGCATTTATTATTTTTAAAGGTGAACTTAGCCTTTATTTATCTGCTTTCATTCTGAAAGTAGAACAGAAAATAAAACATCTCAAAAACTCATGTTTTCATGTGGCCGCCATATTGGGGCTGGTGTACAAAGTTGAGATTGCTCACTCTAAAAATGTGAGTATTCACTTATCCGATTATGTGAAAAGCAATTTCCGGCTTAGGAGGAATATCTAATTACTGTATGTGCAGGTGTTTTTCATTTGATTGGATAATTGAAGTGAATGTTCACACATTTCTTTGAGTAGCTATTCTCAACTCCTTTGGTAAAATATCTTCCGGTGTCAGCACTGCCACCACCATAAAGAAATTTACAGTAGTTATTGCAGTCTTTAGAAAGGGGGGTGTCTTGGAAGAACAAGATAGGCAGGAAGGGACACGTGACGTCAGACGTATCGACGCTGACCGGAAGCGCGATCGCGGCCATCTTGGAAGTGGGAACATGTGGCCAATGTTTCCCTGATTCTGCCTACACTTGGATTCCCTGTGAGGAGGAGCTGTTTTCACTGAAATGTGTATGTGAGTTACCAACTAAAGGAGGATATTTTATACAGTATCTGGGATTGTGGATTTACTTGAGGATAATGGAAGAAAAACCCTAATATTGGAGGAAATCGTGATGAGGAGATATCTAACCCTGAGTGGTGCTGTGCCTTGATATTTCTTATATAGGGTAATTACCCATCAGTATATGTGTTGGAGAGTGTCATTTCACTGATCACTGATGTATATAGGGTGTGGTGATACACACTTGCAGTGATGTGTTGGAGCTGTTTTACACTTTGGGCTTAGGACACTATTCTATGTGAGAGTGTTTTTCATATATTCACTTTAATATATATATGTGTATTGTATGCTCGTGTATAGAGTATACACACATATAGAATTTGCATGCTGCACAGTGAAGGCACGTGCGATTTATTATTTAAAAGGTATGACACTATGTTGAGTTTTTTTCTTTTTGAGGTGTACTGTCATCAGGATTTGCGGGTATTGAGAAGAAGTTTTTGAAAGAAGAAAGAAAATTATTTACACCTGTGGGGATTATTTTTGAATTTTTGGATATTATTTTGGATTATTTTTGTATTTTGGATATTTTGATATTTTGGACCAGTTTTTTTCATTTTTTTTATTTTATCTGTATGTTTTATTATTTTGTCACTCATTTGTGAAAGGGAAAAGTTTTATATCTTTGTTTAAGATAGGCAGGAAGGTACAGACCAGAACCTACAGAAATCAACAGAGATAATTATCAAACCGCTAGGAGCCATAATAGTAGCAGCAACTGTACAAACAAGCTATCTTTGTATTGGAACAAGACGATGGGCTACCACTACAATTTTTGAGGTACCTTCACTCTTGCTAAAACTCCAGTTAATTGCAGGATTGTGACAAAAGTTTCAGAACTTATTTTGAAGGAACTGTACCTCTAGGCTCACTATGATCTGTGAGTGCTCATGATTCAGTTTCTGATTGGTATCTGTGTGAGGGTAGGACAACTGCATAGCGGTAGTTTAAAGAGACCAGGTGAGACATCTTCTAGGAATTTTCTGGTAAACAGTACAACAATGCAGTTGTTATCCAAAAGTAGAAGTTTGTATAGTAAGGCAGCAGATTCTATCCAGCCCTCCTGGGAAACTCTTCCGTAGTGTAGTCCCTGTCCCTGTTTCTCTAACAAGGATCCAGGTTCACTATTCCTGGATGTACCCTCCAGCAAGGCAGTGTAAGCACTTCTGGCCCCAGACTGAGGCAGAATCTTGGCTTTCAACACAGTATCTTTTCCTGACAACAGCCCAGGAAGCAAGGACAAAAGCCCCTTTTTTCAGAAGATCACCCAAAAACTGTATATCCTCCCCTAGCAAGCACAACTGGCAATAACCCTCTTAGTAGTTGGCCAAGTTGCCAGATTGTCTCCCTGGGCAACTACTAAGATGATTATTGCCAGAGGTGCATGCTGGAGTGTCCTGGATAAGGTCTTTTCATGACTTTTTTGTAAATTTTGTATCTTCTTGCTGTATTGCCAGGGACACTCTCAAACAGCAGACAAGCAAATAAAAAGGTAGGAAAATCCAATATAAGCAAAACTTCAATTCAGAGCTCAGACTGTCTACATCATAAGAACAACATTAAATATGAGCTAGGAACACTCCTGCTTAAGACAGGGTCCCTACACCTGCTCAAGGTATTGATGCATCCATTGAAAAAGAAATTGCTCAGCTTTTTTGCCTGTAGTACTGTGGAAAGTGCAGGCACATGGAATAACGTGTATGTCACCTATCTCAGGTCAAAGATGTCACACGTGTTAAGCTACTGATAGGCAAAGTGCTGAGAAATACTTTATAGAAGCAATTAAAATTCTTTGAGCTAAGATACCTGAAAGACAACGTGTTCACAATTGCTCTATGACCACATACAACATTTGAACTTGCATTTATTGAGTGTTTACAAAATATGTACTAGCATAATAGAAAAGGATGTATAAAAAAAAAGTGTTGATTATTTCACCGTCCTATTTATAGAATCAAAATGGTCAGCATGACAAAATTAAAGTATAACTAAATACAAAACTTTTTTTTTTAATAATGTAGTATGGAGTAGGGAATAGTAAAACCCTTCTCATCATGTTTTTTCTCCCTGTATCACATTTGGGAGAGTTCCCTTCACTTTCTCTTCTGTAGACACAACAGAATGTGAAAGAAAATGTCTTGACTGATGGACATGCAGAATATCGATGCTAATACTTACCACCTAACCAATAAAACAACCACCCCCTCAACCTTCTCGCAACTGAAATAACCACGCGACTCTCCTTTTTGGTGTAAAAATGGCCATAGCAGCCCATTTATTTAACATAACTATTACATAACACTTCATACAGTACAATCAAAATAATAACTGACAGTAATGATCCCAAGCGGGTCCAAGGTCTTCGAAGGCACTGTTATCGCATAAATAACTGCTGTATCTGACACCCAATGAAAAAGGCCCCCAGCCGCTACTACACCACCTCGGGGACAATACTACAGCTACGTAGTCTCAGATACAGCCCATTAACTACAACCTTACCAACGTAACCTTATAATTGGGAAGGAACACCCATACCTTCGATGGGCCCAACCCATAATACACCAAATTGTCACTCCAGCACCGCCTTCAAAGACCCAGCGACCCCTGCCAACTGCCATGACAAAAACAAAAAATGCAAGACAAGCACCCATGCTGGCACAAGCTCCGACTGACACCCGATAAGTCCCAACCCCTCTCCTCATCCTGGAAAGACCACCCTCATACTCAAATACTCCAGTCAGGTGAGTAACCACCCCTACCTAATGAATATACTCCCACCCTATTCAAATCTCCGCCTCGTCTGCAAGTCCCAGTCATGCTGGCCCTCCCCTTAGCTTTGCTTAGTTCCAGGTCATGTACGTAAAGTACAGGAAATACCCTCTTCCTAATAATCACCAGGGCAAATAAAAGGGACCCAGACAATAACAATCATAATAATAATAAAAAAAACTAACAGAGATGTAAACTTTTTATTCTTTCTTTATAAACCCAAAAAATGGCTATATACAGGATATACTTTAAAGTAGAAATTTGGTTCTCTAAAGCACTGTGCATAATTGCCACAGTATATTTTTCCATAAAATTGTGAACTGTTTTAACCCTCTTTTTGCATCTCAGTGATGCTGATCTCCTCCAGCCTCTTTCAGCCATGTCCTGTCCATAAACACTTGCATTACAGTTGGCTGTACATCATTGCTCCCGACTGGCAACCTGGTAATGATAGTAGTTGGCTAGGGGCAGACTGACCATTGGAGAACTCGGGCACTGCCCGAGGGCCCGGGGTCAGTAGGGGGCCCCATGAGATGTCCCTGGTACCTTTCATAGGCTTTTTTGGGTGTGGTTTGAGTGTGGGCGAGGACACAGGGGCCCCATAATCCCATATTGCCTGGGGGCCCCATGAGTTGTCAGTCCCCCCCTGTAGTGGGCCATGCCTGTGCAATGTGCTTCTACATGGCCACTTATATTCTTCACCAGGGAGAATGTGACACAGTGACAATGCAGGAGCACAACTGGGAGCCAGTTGTTATCCCATAACAGGAAGTACCTGAACAAGGACTTTATGGCAGGACCATCAGTCAATATTTTATTACAAGAGTAGATTTAAACAGAAGTTTTTGAAATTACAATAACATCTGAAAGCCTTTATGAGGTTTTTGCCAATAGGCTTAGATCTTCTTTAAAGTGGAACTGCACTGCAGCTAAGCACCACAAACCAAAAATGATAATTTATTCATGTTTAATGTTTAAAGCAAACTCACCCATCCACCCATGTCTCTGTGCTTTATTTTGCTGAGAAATTATTTTGAAAAACACCCCTGGCATTTCTGGCAGTGGCCATCTTGAGTAAGGGCAGGTGATTTATGTATCATTTACTTCCTGGAATCAATCTGTCCCTAGCTCAGGCGGCTGAACTGAGAACCCTCCCTACCCTCCTGAAGACTACTGGGATATATGACATCATTTGCCTAGGCCTAGAAATAACTAAATACATTTTTAAAAAAAGTTTAAAAGGAAACTATGTACTAATGCTGGCAGCATAAGATTTAAAAATAGTCAATGTTGATTGAGAGAGTGACATTCCGCTTTAAGTGAGTATCATGCTCTGAATAGGTTACACTTCATCCTGCAAATGCTGGCCTGTACAATTGCACTGTATACAGTTGGCTGTATACAGTGACAGCTGCCCATATCTTGCTCCTTCATTGATTGGGAGATGGTGTTGGTGTCACACAGAATACTGCAACTCAGAACAACATAGAGACTACCTCCCTGCCTCCTAGCATACCATTACCTTTTTCCTTCTGACCAATGAGAGCTTTAATAGAAACATTAAATGCCCGGCAAATTTCAATTCCCTCCGGTTTACTTAAAGTGGGTGAAAATTCTTACATTTACCCAGTGAAGCAACTATCCTCTGATTAAATAAATGCTTCTACATATTTTGGACCTGTTTATCTGCAGCCCTTTAACATTTGTATAAAGTGCAGAATTTAGCCTTTGGCCACATCGAATCTGACTGAAATCATGCGACTTCACTTGAATTGACACGATTTAAAAGTCAGATGTCAGTCTGACTTCAGGTGTGAACTGGAAGACATCTGTGCGACTTCATACACAGATGTCTATGCAAGTCGCACCTGAACTTGCAAAAAGTAGTGCATGAAGTACTTTCAAAATCGGTGCGACATCGACGAGTCAGAATCGTACCGATATGACCGCTTCCATTGCGGACAATAGGGTACAAAAAACTATCAAATCGAATGACAAGTCGCACCGGTGTGACCGGGGACTTACACATCTTTTCTGATCTTCCAGAGGCAGCAGGGGTGGGGATCTGATGCCCACTGCACAGCTCAGAGAGGAGAGTGGAGTGTAATTTGAGACCTGAGTGGAGGGAAGAGACACTCCCCTCTATGCAGTCTGAGGCTGTGAATTACAGGCTGCATGCTGTAGGCCACCTCCCCTATTCCCCTCGATACCTTAGACTCGGCACAACCTAGAAATAACTCATGCAGATAGCATAGAAACTGGATTGCAGACTGAAAACGCACCTGGTGCTTTGGTTTGAGGCAAGTACATAATATAGAAGGCTATACAAGAATACGTTTTGAAATTCATAGGCTCTGAGACTAACACATAAATAGCTGTGAGATATCAGCTGGTAAATGGATTGCTGGAGTGATGCTAAGGGAGCCTTTTTTTCTGGGGTATCTCATTATACAAAATTTCTTGGCACTTAATATTTATTTATTTCAGGTACTTACTGTATATAGCGCTGTCAATTTACGCAACGCTTTACATATATATTGTACATTCACATCAGTCCCTAACCCTCAAGGGGCATACAATCTAAGGTCCCCAACTCACATTCATATACAAGGGCCAATTTAGACAGGATCCAATTAACCTACCAGCATGTCTTTGGAGTGTGGGAGGAAACCGGAGTACCCGGAGGAAACCCACGCAGGCAGAGGGAGAACATGCAAACTCCAGGCAGGTGGTGCTGTGGCTGGGATTCAAACCAACAACCCTAGTACTGCCAGGTGGAAGTGCTAACCATTTAGCCACTGTGCTGCCCAAATATAAGCATGTCTGATGTAGAAACCATCATTTTTGTGTCCCCTAGTATTGAAGGCATAGAATCAATTGGGTATTATGATCAGCATAACATTTTGTTTTTCTTAGCAAGGTACACTTATTCTTTATAGAGTTCTAGCCTAATGTTTGACAAATTCCAGAAAACAGAACTAAGGCCACGGTTATAATAACCCTAACAGCATACATAGTCTGCCCCTCCAGGTTTAAACTAATTGAGTAGCTAATACTTACTATTAGGGTTCAGAGAGGGAATAGTTTACCCACATCAAACGCTGCAAAGGAAAACTGCTTTATGCTTTGCTAAATAGCAACAGTGATTTGCCACATGTTCAAGTCCACATTTGGAAACTGCCTAAACTGAATGCAAAGATGATCATGTAAATCACATCATAATGGTGTTTTTCCCAGTCTCACCAGTCAAACATATTGGCTGGCATCCCTATGGATGAAAGGCCTAGTAAAATTACTAGTGGTAAAATCCTTGATCAAATGATCCTTTGAAAGTAGTGAATTATCTTTGGTCAAGAATACAGTAAAATACCTGAATTTTAAAGTTGAAAACATTGTTTTCCATGATAATGATGTAACAGAAAACAGGAAAATTCTAAGTCCACTGTAGTCTTACACAGCCCTCTTCACTAGCTTAGGCCTGAACTCTTGAACATATACATTCTTTCCATACTTTTCTTCAGCCTCATTCAGTACCCACTAATGTCAATAATGCTTCCATAGTCATCAATCCCACCAAGAGACATCCTGCACACCACATGAATGACAGTGAATCTTTGACTGCTGAGGAACTAATCAGGGGAGGTTTCCTAATGGTGACAGATTTCTCCCCAGTGTGTTGTAGTAGCCTTCAGCTGTAACTGTTTCTGGAGCAGTCCTTTTAACCTATTGAAAACAGGTTTTGATTTTACATCCACTTTAATTTGTTTTCTGGATTTCTACTAGCAAAAGCCTCCCCCAAACATAAAGTTTGCATGTGTCTTATAAAAGAATATTAGGCCAAAGATGCCTACAGCCATGTGGCACAGCTAATTTGCTAGCAGACTGGTGCTGAACTATATACAGAAGATAACAATATATATATACCAGATATACGGCTAACTGCACAGCAACAAGATTGGAAGGGAAGGTGAGAACAGAGGTTTTAAACCACCCAAATCCTATCACCTTTGATTCCAAGGTGTTTGGATTTGGGTTTTGTTTTTGCTGATTTTTGTCCTGTTCCGCCAAGCTGTTGATGAATTGAATACAGATGCGTGCAAGCAAGACTATTTTTTAGGACCTTGTTTTCAATAACAGTTTCACAAAACAGGCTATGTTTGTATTTTATAAATTCTAAAGTTTGGCTTCCAAACAGAGATTGATTAGCACAGCTTATTGTGTCAAATCAATAAGTAAAACATTGTACCTTTAGTATATCTTTCCAAATAGAAGAAGCAGAGCACATATAACACTGGTCAGGCACCCCACCTTGTCTACTTCTAGCCTCACCCGTTCAGGACATTATTATCCAGCCTACTTCTGTTTCTGATGATTGGATTCCATTAATGGTATCATCAGGGGGTCTAGGTACAAGAATAGCTATTCCACAGAGACACTACGAAATGGATGACAAAGTGGGCCTAGGCATAAAAACAACTATAGAATGCCTATTGCAAATGCTGCGTGATTCATTACTGGCTTATCCCACACTTTTGAAGCATAAGGTTGCCTGGGTTTAGGTGTATGGGAAGAGCTTTGCTAATTACTAACCTAGAAACACAGATTGGACCACCTGTGCAAGGTTAATGAAATGCTGAAAGCATGGCCTAGGGGGTCCTTGAAGATGGAGAGACACCATAATAAATCAGACTGTACTATATCATGAGTGTATCAATAAGATATAAGAAACCATGACCTTGTATTGTGAATTACAAAATTATTAGGATTTGCTATATATGTATTTGGCTATAAACATATTGCATTTATTGTGCTATTTTTTCTGGATCCAGACATGTTTATTAGCTTTCTGTATATTATACTATAAAATAAACTGCCTTTAAGGCTTCTGTAGCATACTAGGTTGCTGTCAACTGAACTGAATAGGTAAAGGCGTGTGTTGACGGGTTTGGGCTTAAGTCATTGGTATCAAAATGACATCAGTTTGAAATGCTTTTGTAATCAGAGTTAAAGGATAAGTTCACCTTTAAAAAAAAATAAAATAAATGTACATCTTTTTGCAAGTAAAAAAAATGTGCATTTATTTTTTTACTTGGAGCCTGTTAAGCATTGCACCCGCAATCAGCAGATCGCGGGTGCCATGCAGGACTCCTGCAGACTTGGCAGTGTATCTGTCTACTCGTACCTCATAGGCAGATACACACAGATAGGAAGAGACAATTAACTTCCATGGTAGTTCAGAAAACTACAAGCCGACAGCTACAAATGCTGTCAGTACTTGTAGTTTCTTATTCACGGAACTCTGTGAACGAATGACGCAGAGCCGCACACGGCCGTGTTTTTTTTAAACAGTGACAACAAGCAGGGGGAGAAGATTCCCCACATGCTGTCACTCGAGGCAGTGGAGCATATAGTGGCTGCAGTAGTGGGAACATGTTACATGTTCCACCCTAAAAACGGGATGTAACATGTTCCCAAAGCTGAACTTATCCTTTAACAGATTAATTTGACTACAGTTGACCTCCTTCTGACTTGCATTTGGCCTTCTTCAAGTGGGTTTTGCATTCTGATACACTTGTATGTAAGAATGCTGAAGCAAACAAAAGCCCGCCAATAGAGGCTTTTACAAAATAT